TACGATCGATACGTATCTAAGCCGTGTGGTCGCGACGATCGGACGACCGACTATGCATGCGCCCTCGCAATGGACGGCAGCCAAACAAAGTGGCAACTCCTCTTTCAATGAGCCTTGCAGTTAGCGCGATACTAGCGCCCTCCACACCAGGAATTTGCGAGCTTTTATTCCCGTAGATACTGTAAATCATGACGTAGCGTGTACATGAGGGAAGGAAGCGTCGGTGAGCTTATTTAATATTTAGCCATGTTTTTACAGCTCGATGAGTAAGTTACTTTTATCACTACTTTGTTTTGTAATGAAAAATGGTTGTCATTCGTTGTTTATTGTTATGTCTTCTTCTTCTACACAATTGTCGTTTTTCACTGTTGGAGGTGAATGTTCATGCATGTAATTTTCTTTTTTGGTAAATACATAGATCCGCTCAACTTATTTGAAACTGCAGAGAGAATTAAAGGCGGAGGTTGCGATGAAAAGGCAGCCATTAGAAACTGTGCTTGAGGTGGACGTTGGTGCAGGGATGAAGGAAAACCATGAGAAACGGCCGAGAAATCGGGAAATGGGTTCCCTTTTTCCCGTTCGTATTCATTGAAGCCTCTCATCGGTCCTGCGCTCTTCAACGCTATTGCTCTCCGCTAAACGGCTAGAGGCAGACGGCGAGAGGGTGGGCGTGCCATGACGCAGTCATGGCGCTGCTAAGCTGCTGGAGGCACAACTATTCGCTGTGAAAAGCGCATCGTTCTGCATCATTAGGGTCTTGTCTTTGTACTAACCATAAGTGAATAATTTCCTCTTTGACTTCTGATCTATGGGAACTACTTTAACCAATACATTCCAACACTGTTGATGGCTAGCCTATTTTTTGTAATAAACCAAAAAGTGTACGACTGCCCACTCGAGACCAGGCTCGTATTCCCGCCCTCTGACAATCTCACTGATACATATTTGAAAGCTCGCTTTGTTCGGAGCATATTACAGAAAAGTAGTAAGATGTAAATGTAACAGAAATGAAGTTTGAGACAAAAGGGCGAGTTTGGCTGGCCAGAAGCACGGATGGACAGGTGTGCTTTTCTATACCATATGCCGGTATACGTGACTACTTGGACTTTTCCCATTTCTCTGCCTTAAATAGCTAGAGACAGGCAATTAGAAAATGACGCCGCCTGGCTCGCTTCCAAATCCCAAAGCGAGACAAGCCCTCAGGCCCTAAACCAAGTCTTTCAAGCGAGTGTCAGCCTTTTCATAATGTTACTGTTACATGATATAGGACACACCGAACCAAACCAATGGATAATTATTTCCTAAACGGTCTGCATACCTAGAGCACGTTTAAATAAACCCCCCCCCAACAAAGGGGGCCGTCTTGGTCACTAACTTTTTCACCCCCGTTTAATCAAATTCGTAAGGGTCACCAGCGGTCCACAACCAATGAATACACCATTCCTATTCACTTGCTGACGTAATGCGCGAATTTTGGCACATGAACTTGAAATGCAAAAATTTGTCACCAAGAGGAATCGAACTAGGGACCCCCTTTTTCTGGTATTCAGAGGGCCGTTCAGGAAAAATTAAACATGGTTCTGTGGCTCCCGTCGCCCTATATCATGCAAAAGACCGTTTTGAAAAACTGAGCCCCTGAAAACCTCCTGAGCCGTAATAGCTTCCCCGAATGGTTTGGGGACGAAAGTCCCTTTAAATTTTTTGTTCTTGAACGACACTGTTTCTTTTATTCTCAATGCATGTTGTTTACTTTAAGCAACACACATATATTAAATGTAGGCCCTTTATCAGGACAATCCCAGTTGGGACGACAGAGAAAATTTAAAGGGATTTTCGTCCCCTAACCCTTCGGGGAAGCATACCTTACGGCCTGGAACCTCTGAGGGAGGGCTATCAGCGTGGGACGCGAATACAGTGGTTTGAGTGTAGATTACCGTATTCATGAGCCACTGTTAGGTAGATAATCGCAAACGAGAGCACAACAATGGAAGCGTTTAAAAAAACTCTGGAATCATATAGTCACAACTCATTGCACCATCCCTGTGGACGTTGTGATTATATTTCTCACGTTGGTCACATTTGATACCTTATTTACCTTCGTATTACGATTCTAATATCTAAACACTAAGTTACTGTGAATGCCCTCTGAGGGCACCTCGTTTTCCGCTGCGTTTACTGAATAGAAATGTAAAATAACAGCTTTAATATTAGATTTATTAATTACGACGTATACCTTTCTATCAAATAAATTCCCATTAGCACTAGACAAATGTTCGCAAGATTATCCATAAACAAGAGATCGTAAATTCAGCGGGTTCACTTGAATCTAAAATCAACAAAATATCCGACATTATTACCAGGAATGGTGCGATGCTGAGGATGTGCACACTACATGCGTATATAGGACCCGAATATGACAAAAGACTAGCTCTTTTTTAGGTAAGACAATCTAGGAATGACGCCGTCTCTGATAATATGTAAGACACGATAACAAGTGACGAGGAATAAGACCACAATAGATAACACTGATTTCTTATTAGAACACAATAGCGCTAGTAACACTTGAGCTTTAAAAAACCCTTTGAACGGATTAAGGTTCAAGAAACAAAAAACCAGAACTCTCTAGTAACTTCACAATGCTCAATTTCAGTACTGCTGAAGCCGCGCCAGTAACTCGTCCGTTGTTGGTGACCCGTTATTCTCCTTGTGAGTTGGAGATGTTTCAGCTGGTCTTAGCGCCACCTAAGAGAACATGGTGAAAAGAGGAGAGAAAAACTGAGAGAAAAATGAAAATTAAGAGAAAAAGAAAACTAAGAGAAAAAGAACAAAAAACTTCAAATGCTTCGCTAAAGTTAAGAGAACCAGTTTAGAGACCATGCTATCGAAATTCGTTTGCTCCAAACTTATCACCCGAACTCAAAGTTGGGAAGCAAAGCTATTCGGGTATAGTTAAAATTATGCAGCGCTAGTCACAAAACAAGAATTTTAGTGTTTTCAACAAAAGAGAAAAACAAAACGAGTCGTACAACTATGAAATTCATAAGGTATAAAAATGACCCCGCATACCGGTTGGACGCAGATTGCAGAACCACGCGCGCTGGCGACACTTCAACTTTTGGCAATGGCACGGCTTGCCAAAATGGTAGTCTTCTACGGATTTTTGAAATTATGACTGAATCGCCCAGAACGCCTCATAGAACAGGATCCTGATTTGAGGTCATTTGAAAACATTGGAGAGATGCAAAAATTTTCTAAGCGGGCCGGGTGTGGTGAATCACCTATGCTGCTGCTCTAACCAGATATTTGACGATCGCTTCTAAAGCACCATTCAAGTGTTTCAAAAAGGTCCGATTTTAAGGAGACCTGGCTGCCGACGGTTGCCCCCTTGATTACGGGAGAGTCTTGCTGCGAGGGTTTAATGACCAATATAAGAATATTCTTTGATTGACAAATAGAGATAAAGATCTGTCCGATAGGCTAGGTATTCTGGGTACTTACTCGCAGTCGAGACGCTGGTGATCTAACGCTATAACATCCATGTTTACTGGTCATATGCTGTGTGACAGCACACGCAACAATCAATGTGCGAGCAATACTTTCATTTTCCTTTGATCTCATGTCTCTCAAAGGTGTTCGTCGCTCCTGATGTCAGGAAATTTGCATAAATATCACTATCGTACGGATAGCGCTTAAACCATGAAGACTGAACTGTTCGCTGTTGAGAAGTATACCTGTTTTAGTATTTGAGTTTTTTGTTTATAAGCACACTGTTCTTTGTATAGAGATGCTCATTTTCTTTTCCACGTGTGCCTTTTGCAGACGTAATAAACTTATACTTATACTACACAGCTTATGGTTAACCCATGTTGCAAGAGTAAAAATTACGGAGGATATGTGTGACGAATACCGAGAAATAAAAAGAAATAAGAAAAGTGTTTAGCGCTGATCAACTATTTCCATCTCCATCCAGAATCACAGTGACATTTTGGACTCGACCCATGCAGTGGCTTGCGAATACAGCCGATGTACAGGTCAGAATCTTTATCCACACAAAGAGGTCTGGTACCGATTAACAGATCTCGGATGGATGCAAGACCTGATTGGGTGTTCCACAGCTAATTTTCAGAATTTTGCACTGCCCGCTGAGGAATGTGGCACTGAACGCTTTATATGGATGGTATATTTGCTCTCATTAAGTTGTCTTTTCGCCTTGAAGAATTTTCTAACGAAAACAAAAATGCTATGGTAGTTGACCAATACATGCAGGAAGCTCTAAATGAAAATCGGTGAGAAAAAACCATTATCTGGAAACCACAACGAGGAAAATGACTTGCATGCACAGAAATGAAACCTTACCTCGATGGTTGGAGCGCCTTTGCGGCGTATTCGGACTTTTTCAGGAGCAGGTGGGAGAACTGAGAACGGGGCTCGGACTGTATTGGGGTCAGTCTCGCCGCCATTAAGAGCCTTCACGGAGAATGAAATCTGCACCGCGAGATCGTTGTCGTTGCAGAGCAGCTCGACCTGAAGGCCCGTTAAACATAGTAAGCGGGTGAGAAAAGCAAAAAGCAAGAGTTCATAAACAAGGCTCAAATTTCTTTAGGGGTTGGTGTTTGGCCATCCAAGAAGGTTACAACTCAATTCGGTTTTAGCGATAACCGCCTTAATTAGAGCTTTTTTCGAATAGAGCTCTTCAGACTGAAGCTGACAAACGTCGGAAAACCACCGGGATTTCTAAATAAGGAAACCAAGGCAAAACCATACATTGTTACATTATGATACTTTGTCATGCACGGAATTTTAAAGGGTTATGCAAACTCTTCAAAAACTCAAAATCATCTCTTCTTTGAAGCTCGAGTTTACACAGCAATGGGTAAACAGATGAAAAACAGGTAAATGGGTAGCAATGGGTAAACAGGTATTACCTGTTTTGGTGCGTCCTGCCGATGCTCGCGGTGTGCGCGATCCTTGAAGTAATTTCGCAAGACCACCAACTGCCATCATCTTATCGAGCTCGTCGAGTACACCAGGAGAATCCATAGCTGAAACAAACCACGTCAGTGAACAAGCTTGGAAGCTGAGGAAGGCGGAGATGGGAAGACCTGTCTGGAGTCCAGTAAGGCCAGCCGACTCGAGCAGTCTGGGTTTTGAATGGGCGGCAAGGCTTTGGGTCGTTTTTTCTTCTTCGAATCTTCTCGTTCCTTCTCCTCTTTCAATTTCTCCATTTCTAATTCACGATAAACGCCCTAGAAAAGCATACTTGGCTTCATTAAGACGTGAGCTTTCGAGAAAATCGCCAAAAAGTACAGCTTGAATGAAACGGCATAACAGATTCTCGATATTCCTCACCTCGTACTGCTCTTTGAATGTCTTCATATCAGCGAAAAACTGCTCCAATGGGTACTTTTTCTCGTCAAAAGCGTAAAACTTCGTGAAACTCTCCCAATCGGATTTCATTTTACGATGCATCTGAAATAAACCATAGTGGGCTCTGGAAAACTCAGCGGTTCCAAAGGCTACTCACCGTCTCTATTGTATCTAATTCGCCCTGAGCTTTCGTGAGGAATGGAGTCATCACGTCTATGAACTTGTCTTCTTCGCCTTGTTTCTTATAAGTTCGTAAGCAGTTCTCTAGCTGAAAAATGACAGTAAGCAAGTGGTGCCTTGAGGTAGATTGCAGGATCCACCGTCCGGCGTCTGACCGAGCTAGAGTGGGGTTGCATTTGCAATTTTTGGGAAGGAGATCACATTCTGGGTAGACGAAAGTTAGTTAGATTCGAAGAGAAGTGGAAGGAGCTGTGTTTGTGGGAAAAAGATCCCTTCACCGACGGTCATTTTGGAGAGGAAAAGCTGGTCGAGTTGAAGTGTTGACCTGATCTCAGAATCATATGCTATAAAAACACATGGTGGCGAGGATATTGGTCGGGGTGGTCGGGAGGTGGGGAGGAAAGGAGAGCTCGTATGGGAAACCCCATGTCCCAAGGCAGACAGTGGTGATGAAAGGTTAGGTCGGCGAGATCCCTTAAGAACAGGAAAGTCGTAGAATTTTTGGAACAGGCCTAACTTCAGAGATGACCCAGTTAGATTGCAGCTCACCTTGGTCACATTCTGTCGAAGGTTTGTCACTCCTTTTGTTAATTCATCGGCATTCACACGTGCTGCAGCAATGCAGTGGTAAAAATCTTCATGCGTAAACCTACACTTTTGCCTAATTCTCCCGCGCAAGAAGCGGAATGTGTTGAAATTTTTTTAGACTCCTCAGAAGATTTTGAAAAAGGATTATTCAAGGCAAAGTGTGGTATCATCGAAGAACCTTGCGTTTTTAGAGTCAAACTTCCGCATCGACTCGACCATGTAATGCAGGAGAGTTCGCTTATTGTCCACGTCTTTCGTATCCATGAGCTGAAGGAGTGATGAATTTGAGAGCATCGTGTATCTCAGTGGCACAAACAAACAAACAACCTTTGTGAGCACGTTCATTTCAAATGCAAACGTGTCTTTGTATGTCTTCGACGATTGATCCATGTAATTTCCAAACAAAAGCACAAGTTCAAGGAAAATCTTGAAGCCTTTTGACCGCCGGATCTCCTCGCAAGCTTCAATAACAGAGGATATGCCCTGAATAAGATCTGCATGAACTTAAAGGCCTTCGGGGAAAATTGATTTGTGAAACATCCATTAATTACTAGCAATTGAGAGTTCACCTTACAGTTACTCCTGTAAAAACTCCTAGAAAATGTTCAAAGCGTGAAACATGTCTTGCGAAGTGGCATCCACGTTGATCCATCTGAGCAGTTAGCTAGCTCAATTGCGCGCTACTTCCCTGGCTATTACTTCATTTTTTGGGACCTGTTTTAGTGTCCAAAAATGGAGTTGATATCTCACATACCCTGAGCCCGAATCAGCTCCGCACACGATCTGACGTCATGTTCCCGTTGGTGTTTGCCGCACCCCCACCTTCCACCTCCCCCCCCCCCACCCGAATCTCGTGCCGGTATGTTTCGACAGCGACAGCGCTACCAAATGCTTCACGGATCGAGTAGTATAACGAGGAAAAAATCCGTAAAAATTTGCCTTGAAGCTGTTGAAAAGGGTCAGACCTTTTCTTAGCCAGTTCTCCTTCTATGTTATGAATTGGGCTGAAATCTGTGTTACTAACCACAAATAATTTTTTTGGAAAAGATGTAAAGAGGTTTGTAGTAGGGAGAGCTACGAGAAGATGTGTACAGCCGTCTGCAAATAAAATCCCATAACTACCGTTGAGACCCTTTCATAAAACCGAGCCATGGCTCACAAAGGAAAGAAAACAAATTTTGACACGGACATCTTAATAGGATAACCTAATAACGTCTTTTTTGAAAAAAGGAGAGCTATTTGTCCAGCAGCACAGCTTTCTCGAATATCTCTCTGGTTTTCGCTGGAAAGCAATTCGTCCAACATCAGTCCTATACAACTCTTGAAAGGTAGGTGCATTTCAAGCACCGCAATGGACCCTAAAAAATTCGTAGCAAAGCCGAGTGGAAATTTTTCAAAAACGCTGTGCGCCATCGTCGAAGCTCCCATGGGCCTCCGATCTGCGATTCATGCTGGAGCACACCTATTTGTTTATAGGAGGAGCTACATTTTTGTATTGAATAAAAATTATCTAACAACCCCCAGCTGCTTCAGCGTTACAATAAAAAGTAAATTCTTGTAGAGATTTTTCGTATTCCAATACCATACGCGATTTCTGTACCATACTTTTACATTTTGTTACCATAGTTATAACGCACTCTGCAG